TGACCTACAACAAATGTGATTTTTAAGTCGAGACTTCCATGAAAAGGGATTGAGCTAAAAACCGGGGAACAATAATCAACCTCCCGGAAGCCAAGTAAGTTCATTCATAATCCTCCCGGCGTTCTCGCTGTAATCGGATGAGCTTTCTCCATAATTAAGCGGGCAGGCCGTCGTATTATTTCGACACTAATGGCATTCCGCGCTCACACAATGACGATGACGACGACCGATTAAAATTTCATCCCCGCATCCAAACCCTACACCCTGCGCCCACCCCTGCTTTGACGATCAAAGGGCCGTTTTTGAGGGGTCGGCCGATCAAAAGAGGGGCACAACCGCAGCCGGATCACCGAGGGAGGACATCATACGGGTATAATCCGGTTAAAGGAATTAATGGGGAACACATTTTGCCGGATAATCAGATCTGGGTTTGGTAATATGGTATCGATGGATGCGCCTGTTTACATGGTGCATCGGTTAGAGAAATTGGCGATAGACTGAGAAGCTTCGAAAATGAGTTCTGATGGAGTCTTTTTTCCTGAATCATCCTCCATTTTAACAATTAGGCATCATTTTAGAACAATTGCAAACATAAATTTTTTTCTTACAGTTGGGATCTAAAGATAGTACCTAAATTCAATATAGTAGATTACAATAATTTTTTTTTCTAATGCAACTGGAGACACTATCATTGACATTACATTACAGAGACATTATCTTTATGCCATAAGCAAGGGTTGTTACTCACCTACCTCTACCCAGGGGGTAAGTGTAGCTCGAAGATATGCTAAGGATGCGAGTAACACTACCCCCACAATTCTCTACATTCATACTAGACTGGAACCTACGGTTTAAAGTAGATTAAGAACCGCTACAAACATCTATGGCATCGCCGAGATTCGAACCCGAAATCTGTGGAACCTAGCAGTCAGAACGCTAGTCACTCGACCATCAGGCCCACAGATTCCAATAATATGTAATTCATATAGGAATTTTTAAGAGGAGCATGGATTATCGATCTAGTATACAACCAAACTATGATAGGCAGATACGAAGCATGGCAAGCGTTACAGAACCAATAGCTTTTGTATGCTATGCTGAAAGAAGAGGATGAAAAATTTGTATGCAGGGATATTCAACACGAGGAGGAATGTTAGAGAATGAAGATCCCTTAGTTGCCACTCATCAGGTTGTTTATTCAAAATTGTGTGTGGAGCATTATATGTAGTAGGGGTGCCTGGAGTAATGCTGATTCTGCTAAGTATCTATCTTTATAATAGCAAATGATCTAGGCCAGGGGTCTCCAAACTTTCCAGCCTTAGGGCCATATTGTTTACTCCAGTAAGTACCAAGGGCCAAAATCATTTTAATTTTCTGTTATTATCTATAATTTCTAGTGTTCCAATGTGTTTTTTCATCCAAATTATTACAGCAACAATAAGCTATTCGCTGTCGCGGGGCGGGTTGACGATACTGGCGGGCCAAATTTGGCCCGCGGGCCGTAGTTTGGAGACGCCTGATCTAGGCCAAAAACTTTGGTATATGAAAACAACATTTTAAAAAACGCATCGAGATCTATGTCCAATTATATATTTTTTATATCTCTGGATTGCCGCCAGCTATTATGTAAATTAAGGATAATATATATAAAAAATTAGTTCTGATAAAATCTTTTTTTCAATAGTTTTTTTCTTGAATCCTCCTTCATTTCAACAATTAGACATCAATTTTAGAGCAATCGCAACTATAAATTTTTTCCCTGCAATTTTAATCTACAGGTAGTACCTATGTTCAATATAGTCGATTCTAATTATGAAATATGTAATTAATGCATACATTTTTAAGAGCAGCATGAACGATCTAGTAAATAACACGTTGGATTTCCAAATTAAGACAGGCAGGTACGCAATACGACAAACGATACAACAGCTTGAACAAGATACAATAGCAATAGACAAGAACCAATAGCTTTTGTATTCTATGCTGATGAAGTGCGTGAAAAATCTGTATGCATGTATATTCACGAGGAGGAATGGAAGGAAGTGCAGATCTCTTAGGGGGCCTGAATGGCCGAGTGGCTAGCGCTCTGGCGCTCGGTACCACAGGTTTCGGGTTCGAGTCCCGGCGGTGCCATGGATGTTTGTAGTGGTTCGGAATCCACTTTAAACCGTAGGTCCCGGTCTAACACGATCGTGGAGAGTGACATATTAAAAATAAGGAGAAAACTAAATGTTCATATATATAGTGATTAGGGAATTATAGTCTTTGTTGCTTCACATCCCCGTATACCACTTCATTCATCATCATGCAGATCTCTTAGTTGCCACTAGGGATTGCAATATCGGACCAAAAGTTCAATACCGGTATTTTTTAGATCTTAATACAGATAGTAGAAATTTTAGAAAAAACAAGAAACACACAGGTGTTTTTTTGTTTTATTTGCCGGTTTTATTAGAGAATGTAAATATCACAAAAAATTTTTGTATCTTATAAATGATAACAGTATATAAAAAATCACAAAAAAAAGTAAAGAAACATCTTATTCATTTAAATTACAAAAAGTGTAAAAGTCAGTATTCAGTCTATGGTACTATTACAAATTTTTGAAATGTGATCTTAAACCTAAACCGAAGTATTATCAACTGATTTCTTATGTCCTTTAAAGTTATTTTTATTCATTATTATGGGGTATTATTTATGGGTATATATATATAATAAATCTGAAAATATTTTGAACTCTAAATGTGAAAATTCTCTATTTTGAACTCTGAAGGATTATTTTGAACTCTGAAGGATTATTTTGAACTCTAAATGTGATTAACAAACTCCCCAATTTAAACACTATCGAAATATTACACCCCTTCTTCACAACTACAACCTTGTTTTCACAGACAAAAATTTCTAGTATTCAAATAAGAATTCTGAATAAGAATTAACAGATAGGAATAAGAATTTTTCACAGATAAGATTTCTAAATTTCCAGTAAATACCGAAAAAACGGTATTTAAACTTATGAATACCGGGATTACCAAATTGTACAAATGGCCCAAAATACCGGTATTCGGTATTCCGGTATTGCAATCCCCAGTTGCCACCCATCAGGGTCTTCCCAATTGGGGGGGGTTAAGTCTAGTAAACGCGCACGGTGTAATGCTGATTCTGCTAAAATCTACCCTTATGGTAGCACGTGATCTAGTCAAAAGTTTTGGCATCTGAAAACAATATTTTAAAAAAACGCATCGGATTTCTATGTCAAAATAGATAGTTTTTATGTTTATGAATTGTCGGTGTTTACTATGAAATTTAGCGATGACTTATCTAGTATGTACTATGTTAAATGATTAATTATGAATTTTCAGTTAATTTGTAAGTAAAAGTATTTTCACTGAAGGGCAATAATCAAGATTATATTAATATGGGATCAGTAAAGAACTAAGAAAAAATATGATTTTAAAGAGAAAGAAATTGCCCGAAAATGCAGAAACGGAGTTAAACGTATCTGTGGTGAATTTTTTTTTTATCTAAATGCATCATATGCACTATTTTGAGGAAAGAATAATAGATAATGATGAATAATAAAAGAAAATTATCATCCATGGATATCTTACTTTATTCAGGAATATGGGATTTATACTCATTAGGGGTCCAAATAAATATCCTGTGGTACGTAAAGAAATTGAATCTTTCTAGACATGTACCATTTAAGTACATGTCTAAAAAGGTTCAGTTATTAAAACAATATAAAAAAGAAACGAATAAATAAATTTCTGAATGATGTGCTGATATGTAGTAAGAGGGCTGAAAAGTTCATAGGCTGACACATAGATGGCGCTACTAGTATTAAATCCATATGATTTTTAGTTAGCCCTAACTTTCAAAAGACACGTGTATAAATTTGACAGCTGTTGCGTTATCAGTATGTGAGTTATAGCATTTTTAGTGAAGTTACAGCATTTTTAGTGTTCATCACGTGCAGTCCACTCGGCTGACTGTCGATTGGACTCCGATGTGAAATGATGGAGCCATGTTTCATCCATTGTCTCAACGACGTCATTATCGATGCAAAAATTCGGGTTTATTATGATTGAACAGCTCCAAACACTGTTTAGAATCCTCAATTCGTTGTTGTTTTGGGTCGATTGTGAGCTCGCGCGGCACCCACTTTGAATGCATATCTAAATATTTATTCACGATATGTCCAACACGTTCTTTTGATATCTTTAGGGTCCCAGCTATCTCAATCAATTTCACTTTACGGTTATCAGAAATTATTTTGTGGACTATTTTTATGTTTTCGTCGGTAACAGCCTTTTTGAGGCGTCCACTGCGTGCATCGTCCTCGGTGCTCATTTCGCCTTGTTTAAATTTAGCAAACCACTTCCCTACGGTTGATTTTCCTGGTGCAAAGTCCGAATAGTGTTTATCAAGCCTAGCCTTGGCTTTAATAGTATTTTTTTTCGCCAAACAGCAATGCTTAATTAACACACGAAATTCCTTTTTATCCATTTTTTCAAACTAACAAAAGTTGCTTTACTAAAAATGCTATAACTCACATACTAATAGAGCAACAGCTGTCAAACTTATACATGTGTCGTTTGAAAGTTAGGGCTAACTAAAAATCATATGGAGTTAATACGAGTAGCGCATTCTATGTGTCAGCCTACGAACTTTTCCGCCCACCTGTTATAAATGTGTTGTTGTTGTTGTTGTTTCTTATCCCACTTGGCTGGCCAAGCCCACGAGCCCATACGTTCTCATGATTGAAGGGGAAGGAAGCAGCTTCTGTTGTGATGGAGCACCCGTAGGTAGAAGCCTGACTTTTGCTCTGTGACGCTCTTACAGTCATAGGAGACTGGGATCTACAGCTTAAAGTGGATTCCGAACCACTACAAACATCCAGGGCACCGCCAGGATTCGAACCCGACACCTGTTGGCACAGAGTGCCAGAGCGCTAGACACTCGACCATTCAGGTCCCAAATTTGCCAACGGCACGCGGTGTTCCAAGTACTGACCGCGCCCAATGATGCTTGACTTCGGTGATCTAACGAGAACCGGTGTATTCAGCATGGTACGGCCGTTGTTATAAATGTAACGATACAATACCTATATAACAAAGGCTGCTATAATTTGTGGACGATTTCTATTTTTAAGGAAAGAGAGATTCTTGAAATTTTCAGCGCACAGAAAATAAATTTTATATTTTTGATGTAAAATATAAAAGATAAGAAAGGTAGAATAAAATGATTTTAATAATGGTGAAGTTCTAAACTTTTGATCGGTTGTATTTAAAAGTTGCAATTAAATTGTTTAGTTTTCTGAACATTTATTTTAGATGATGTAGTTTACAAACTATATAACGGAAATAAAATGATTACAAATCACAGATTTGTGTTTTACAGTTTAAAACATGATATATAAAAATTTACTAGAAAATAAATTTTAACAATCAGTAAAAATTTATCTGGATAAAAAATGTAATTTTATTATTATTACTGTTTGCCAAATTCTTGTAAATGTATTTTTTTAAAACTTTCATTTTTATGTTATTTTAAAATATATTTTAAGATTTGTTTCCAAATTTAAAAATATAATGATTGTATTTCTCCATCGTTAAATAAATTTGTTTTATTGTTTGATTTTGAATGGCTTGGAAATAATCGATACTGATTTTAAATTCTGATTCTCAAATGTCAAATTTGAACAAAATATCTAAATTTATTTTTTGTTGTTATTTAATAAACATATCTAATGTTTCAAGTGATGGTGAAATTGCTGCGATTCGTACAGCTCTGTCCCAGCTGCAGTGTCATCTGGAAAAATTCACAAGAGCTGTTATCCTCTGTGATTCTAGAGCTGCTCTGTTAGCTATTGTTTCTAACAATAATCCTAAAACCCAATACATATTGGATTGCCGTTATCATCTTGAAAACCTGGCATCACTTGAAAACATTATAGTCCTCCAGTGGGTTCCTACCCACTGTGGGGTTCCAGGCAATGAGAAAGCCGACTTCCTGGCTAAAAGGAGGACTTTAATCACTCAAAAAGTATCTCGTTATATACCCTTCCACTCTATCAAAAATCTCATCAAAAGATCAATTAAAGTCCGCACTCAAGAAGACCTCTATAACCATGTTTCCCAAAAGTCCTGGAAGAAGGCCATCCCAAATCTATGTAATGTTCCAAGGCGTAGAGCAGTCGCTCATTTCTGACTAGCCACTGGACATGACTGTCTGCGCAGACTGAAAATTGTTCCTTCCCCGATATGCACTCTGTGCAGCTCTGGAGAGGCTATGGACTCCACACATCTACTGCACTGTCCTGCTCTGACTTTTCTCGCCGAGCGATATTGGGAGGCTAGAGATATGTTAGATTAATGAACTCTGTTGCAGCATGTTTTGTTGTTTTCTCTGTTCTTTTTTTTTAATTTTTCGTTGTTCTGTAACTGTTCATAATCTGCCATTGGAAAAAAAAAATGTTTCAAGTATCTCTCATACCGTTCCATGATCCAATTCCTGTCCAAATGAGAGTTATTGATAAACCAAATTACCATAGGAATAATTTGCATAACACTCGTTAAATGTTTAAATTTCACCAGCACAAGAAGTTGCTCTTGATGTTATAACAGTACGTGCAACCTTAGAGATATTTTTCAATAAATAACCAGGCAACTAGTACATAAATACGATTCTAACTTTGCATTCTAAATATTTTCAGTGAGAGTTCCTCTTTAAAGATTTAATTAGATTTCAAAGGAATCTTAATTATGATAAATGCGATGCAAATAGCTTAGTAGTGTGAGTTCTATATGAAGGCTAAAGGAAAAATATTATTGCTTATGCAAAACGTTTTAAAATGTTTAAAAAAGGAAATTAACTGTTGCATTCTATGCATTTCATCCCAATTAATGAAGGAATAAGAAGATATTACTAATATCATTATTAATGTTGTTATAAATATCTGAATAATATAGATTATATGGTTTCTTATAGCTATAAGTTCAATTTGGGCAATTATTTATAGTCGCTAAATTAAAATAGTTATTAAAATATGAATAGAATTTTCATAATTGATCCCTTAATTATCTGTAAAACTGATAAACACTATATATCTTGTATGCACTTGATACTAATTAATTTATATTGAATAATTAATTAATCATGTTAAGCACCACATTGTACACAAGAGTATTTTTCAATAATTAGAAAACTATTCAAAAAGAAATGTCGAATGCAAAACTTTGAATAGACTTCAGCATTTAAGCCCAAAAATGAAAATTAAAAAAAAAGGAATATATGCGTATTTATCACAAATATAATTGTTTTTAAAAGGTCTACTTATTCGAGTTCTTGAAGTTGTGCTTAGTGAAGATGCAACTCTTCGAGAGCCAACCTTCTGCGAAATTTCTTTTTACAAAATTTCTATTTACGAATTTAATATTCATTTATCTGCATAATATTCATTTACGCAGATAAAGGAATATTAAATTTGCATATTGCTAAAATGTTGATTATACAATGAATATATGACATCCAGGCTTGTTATTTTGTTCAATAAAAAAAATCAAAATTTGAAAAAAAAGTGAATATTACTAAGTTTCCATGCAGGTAAAATATAAAAGATATATACCATTTTAACAAAAAGATAAGAAACTGAAGGAAAAAAAAAATATATGTCTTTAAAGAGGGGCAGGTTCTGTTGTGAGAAAGCATTCATAGTAGAAGTCTGATTTGGCTCCGTATGTCTTTAAAGAGATACAATCTTGTTGTTGTTATATTGTGTTTAATCCTCAGTGTCTGCAGTGTTGGACGGGCGTCCCATGAATAATCTGCTCATGATGGAGCAGGTTCTGTTGTGAGAAAGCATTCATAGTAGAAGTCTGATTTGGCTCCGTATGTCTTTAAAGAGATATAATCTTGTTGTTGTTATATTGTGTCTAATCCTCAGTGTCTGCAGTGTTGGACGGGCGTCCCATGAATAATCTGCTCATGATGGAGCAGGTTCTGTTGTGAGAAAGCATTCATAGTAGAAGTCTGATTTGGCTCCGTATGTCTTTAAAGAGATACAATCTTGTTGTTGTTATATTGTGTCTAATCCTCAGTGTCTGCAGTGTTGGACGGGCGTCCCATGAATAATCTGCTCATGATGGAGCAGGCTCTGTTGTCTTTAAAGAAAGCATTCATAGTAGAAATAATCTGTCTGATTTGGCTCCGTCTGATTTGGCTCTTTAAAGAGATACAATCTTGTTGTTGTTATATTGTGTCTAATCCTCAGTGTCTGCAGTGTTGGACGGGCGTCCCATGAATAATCTGCTCATGATGGAGCAGGCTCTGTTGTGAGAAAGCATTCATAGTAGAAGTCTGATTTGGCTCCGTATGTCTTTAAAGAGATACAATCTTGTTGTTGTTATATTGTGTCTAATCCTCAGTGTCTGCAGTGTTGGACGGGCGTCCCATGAATAATCTGCTCATGATGTAAGGAAGGGGCAGGTTCTGTTGTGGGAAAGCACTCATAGTAGAAGTCTGATTTGGCTCCGTATTACAAATCTTAAAGATTACTATTAAAATTAATAAGATGGAAGATTTTAATTTGATAATGGGTTAATTAAACTTTGCCTAAATTAAAAGAAAACGATTTTATGATGACTAAAAATTTGAATCTTTCAATAAATCTTATTGCTAATAATTCCTTTATTTTAATTTTAAAAGTCTTTTTAAAGTGTACATACAGGCTCCAAATTTTTTTTATCTAATGTTTTAACAGGTAAACCAATAATTTTGAATGAAAAATGCAATTCCTTTTGTGGGAACTGTCATTTTTTTAGCAAGATTGGCAGGTACATTAAATTTATAACACACAAAGCTTGAATAAATGAAATTTTGATGAAAAAAACCAATAAAGGCTACAAAAATTCTTAACCAAAGACTTCGAAACTTTATTTTTTCAATAATTTTTTAATTCATGTATTTAAATTTACCTTGCTTTTGCTCTAAATTGATGAATTTGATCATTAAATATACTTAATGGAGAATGTCTGGTCTACAAAACAAATAAAAATGAACCAGACAACATGAACGATGAAATTCTAGATTGATTACTATGTACTTTAATAGAATAATTCAACAAGTCCCTTTCTGTTTCAAATTTATGACTTATTTAATGGATTAGTTTCGCATTTAGACATTCCCATATTTAACTAAATGGTGGAACGAACAACCATATTTCATTTCAGGGGGGAATTATTACATTGCCCGATGACTGATTTTACAAGGATTCATTATTGATAACCACCATTTAAATTCAACTAATATTTATTTAAAAACTGTAATAAATGTTATGAGAATATATTAAGTCTTAATTGAAATTATCGAAAACAATTCGTAATATTTATCTTTCAGAATTGATCTATAATTGTTGTTATGATAATATATTATGTTTTTTAACAAGAAAAATTATTTGTTATAATATTATTCGAATTATTTAGTAGATTTATATTAAAATATATAACATATGTTTCATTATTAATTACCATTTTGCAATAATAATGTAGTTTAGGCGCTAAAAATGTTGGAGGAATAATTAAGGATATTCTAGAAAATACATAAAATGACAGTATAAGAATGACTTCATAAAGAAAAAAAAAACCAATTCGTGTTTTAAATAAATTTCCAAATTAGTGAACGAACTGAAATATGAAAAATCGGAGTGATAAAATAACAAATTTTATTACCTATTTTCTTACTATTTTTGCTATTGATAAAAATTAATCTTTTAATAAACAATTTATTCTTGTTTCTTATGGAGTATAACAATTGTAATCTAATAAAAAAAATTTTCGTTATAAAATTTAAATAGTTTGATGAACGGTCTGAAAAAAAAAAAAGGTTTTGGGGATAGACTTGACGGGAAATGTTTTTGTAAAAAGACAATTTAATGTTATTTGATATATAACATTATGTTAATATATAATATACAACATTATGTTAATATATAATATACAAAACATTATGTTAATATATAATATACAAAACATTATGTTTAACATACAAACTGTTAATGTACAAACATTCTGTTAATATAC